CCTGGCGTTACGGGTTGTGAAAAATTCTAACAATACTTGATGCCCAATGCACAAATCTACACTTCCCTGTTACTACTTTGTTTGCAGGGGATTAAAATGTCTTCAAGTCAAGTCAATTTTGGATTGTGACACTGCACAATCAAAAACTGACAAGGTTACCTTACCAGTTCCCAAAACCTGCTTCCAGTTTTCATTTAATTACATTTTGGAATGCTGATACTGAGTTTACACTTCAAAAAAGTATGCCTCTGCCACAGGCACTGAGGACACACTAGGAAGTTAGTGATTTCCTCAGAAGTTCAAGAAGTCCATTTTGGCTGCAGTTTTTCCCTTTAGCTTTGATGTGTCAATGGGTAGATATTCCAAAAAGAAAAAGAGAATACAATGTCTATAATATTCTTGAGGATCAAGACTCTATCAATGATCTTTTATGACTATTGTAAAAAGGGCAAACATACATGTATAGATCAGGTCAAATCAAATCACATCAAATATAAGACCAAGCATTAAATATTATACAAGTACAGATAGTCCTCGACTTACAACCACAATTGAGAAAATTTCTGTTGCTAAGTGAGACATTTTGCCCCATTTTATGACCTTTCTTGCCACAGTTGTTAAGTGAATCAGTGCTCAGTTGACACACTGCAGTTGTTAAGTTAGTAACATGGTTGTTAAATGAATCTGGTTCCCCATTGACTTTGCTTATCAGAAGGTGGCAAAAGGTGACCACATGACCCTGGGACATTGCAACCGTCATAAATGTGAGTCAGTTGCCAAGCATCTGAATTTTGATCCCATGACCAGAGGGATCCTGCAACCATCATAAGTATGAAAGACGGTCATAAGTCACTTTTTTCAGTACCGTTGTACCACTAAATGAACTGTTGTAAGTCAAGGACTACCTGTAAATGAAAATACACAAGCCTAGAAAGAAAAGAATTTAGTTCAATTTTTCCAGTGAGAAAAGAGAAATGATAATGCATATAAAAGCACAGAATTAGGCAACCCAGAATAAAAGTAATTGGAAATTCCTTGTAGAGCATTTTGGTTCAAAGGGTTAAGAAGTCAAGATATGTTTGGGCAGGTTTCTGTGGGAGTTTATTTAGAAACAGGATATCCTAAAGAACCGTGTTGCAACCTTTTCAACTCTTCTGTGTGATTCAAGGTGCTTTTTTGATGAAACAGGAACATTGTCAGACGCTTTATACATGGACATCAATCCTGAATTCCTGTAGCAATAGAGGTTGGGTTAAATCTGACTCTTCTATAATCCGTTGAAAGTCAAACTAAAGTCCAGAGTTGCTTGATAGTGAGATGGGTGGCTTATAAAGGTTAATAATAAAATTTAAAAATAGGCTAATAAATTAATATCCTTCTTTTGTCATCTGTGGATAAAAGTTTTTCATCACCTGCTCCCACAATCAGGGGATACCTTTCACATTTGAGGCAGCCCCTCAAATGAGTATTTCTAAGAATCCCGACTATACAATTAACCAGAGTATTTTTTTTATTCACCAATCTTTATAAACTAAAACAATTTTACTTTTCCAATGCAGGCTGTCCTTGACTTGTACAATTAGGACCAGAATTTCTGTTGCTTGGTTGTAAGATGAATCGCACATAATTTTACAACCTTTTTTTTAACCACAGTTGTTAAGCAAATCACTACAGTTGTCAAAGTGAATCATCCAGTTGTTAAACACATCTGGCTTCCCCTACTGACTCTGTTAGTGGGAAGCCGGCTGGGAAGGTCACAAATGGCAATCATGGGGACTCCAGGATACCGCAACCACTGTAAATATACACCAGTTGCCAAGCACCCAAATTTTGGTTCTGTGGCTGTGGGGATGTTGCAACAGTCATAAATGTGAGGACTGGTCATAAGTCAGTGTCGTAAATTGAGGACTACTTGTACATTGGGACTTCAGTTATTACCCTCCCAATCAGCATGGAGTTCAGGAAGGCTGACCTCAAGGAACAGGTTCAAAAATAATGTGGTGTTTTTTTCCCCCAAACAAAAACAACTAAGAGGTTTTTGGCACCTTAAAGACTAGGAGATTTATGGCCACTTAATAGAGCATCCCAAAGTGTTGCTGACTAATTGGTCCTAATAGCTATCCTCTTTATTGCTTTAATATTCAGCCTTGCACACCTTCTCTGATTCACTCCTCTCCAAGCAAATGCTTTTGGGAGTAGTTCACACAAACACCCAATTTAAAATTGCCTCTTTTCCCCCAAAATGGATGTTGCAAGCCCAGGATATCCACACTAGACCAAACAACATGTGACAGTCTCTTCTAGGGCACTGCCTTTGCAGGAAAAATATTCAAGTTTGGTCTGTCATGCAGTATAAAATTGAGGTTAAGAAAAAGGAAAGCCTGGCTGGGGCTTTGAATTGGGGTTGAAGGCTAGTGCAAGGGTCCTCAAACTTGGCCACTTTAAGACTTGTGGGCTTCAACTGCCAGAATTCCTCAGCCAGCCATGCTGGCTGGGGAATTCTGGGAGTTGAAGTCCACAAGTCTTAAAGTGGCCAAGTTTGAGGACCCCTGGGCTAGTGAGTCCAGAGAAAACCACATATGTATATGTACATAATATGCTAATTTGTATGCATATATATTAATATTTACGATATAATTCCTACTACAGCAGACATTGGGTGTAGGTATGTGTTTTAAGTTTTTATTTCCTCCTTTCCTGCAATACTTTTATAGATGCTATATCTGCCCATCACTGATGCTCTTTGTGATGTTTTTTGTCTACCCATAATCAGCAGTTCAAATTAGCAGGATGTTAGAAGAAACCAAGCAGTCTCCAAACCAGCAAAAAAAATATAAAAAAAATCAGGGAAAGTCTGGTAATACTTTTTCCACCTAACAAATTGTACTAAAGGGCGTCCACCAGATTTAAACTATTTTTTTAAAAAAAAAGGGAAAGGGAAGGGAAAGAATAAAATGTGCAAGAAAAAGAAAGAAGGAGAAAAAATGGAAAAGTAAGAATATAATAAAGAGAAAAGAAATATATAAAATGTGATTTCTAAGCTTCATTATAAATGTAAACAAATTAGTGACTCTTCACTCCCTCTAGGATTACAAACATTTATCTCTTCATCCCATATCCTACTTCTAAATTGTAGATAAATCTATGAAACCTCATCTTTTCAGCCCTGCTATTAGCAGAAAATCCATAAAGGGTTGTCAGAAGTAACAACATGTTAACTTTGATCAAATAAACCAATTTTATATTCCTTCCTTCTCCTTCTAACAACCTTAATTTTTAGTTCATTCAAATAATGTCATAGATTCTATTTTATTTCTTCTTTGTTCCATCGCACAGAGATATTCAAGGCTTTAATAAGCCTCTTTTGTAAATACACTAGGAAAAATTATCCAGGTCACTTTTTTGCTTTGTCATTCACATTTTTAAAACCTCAGCCAATTTCATTCATAGATCCAGTGAAACATCCTTTTTCTAAGGCATTCTCTTAGTCTGTCAGTTGTAAATCCACTTTCAATACTACTCCGTATGTTATCAGATAATTTTTTGTCTACATCTTTCATTTTGTCAATAACATCTTTTGGAAATAGTTTTTCCATAGAAGCAAACATCTTTACTGACATTATTGATATAGTGGCTACTAATTTCTGACTCCTTTCTTAAAAATTCTTCTTCAGAATTTTCATTTTTATAATTCTTTGCATCATTTTGAAGGCTTGTATTTATTTTTCCTCTATTTAAAATCTTTAGTACTTCTAGTGTCCAGTTTTTAATTTTATTGTATATGGAAGGTGCTCATATTACTTTCTTGCGGTTATTGTTTATTGCACTTTAGTCATTTTTAATCTAACTCTCTGATTGCTAACACATTTTAGCATTGCTTTAAAGTTACTCTGGTTTCTCTTATGAAGGTATAAAAGTTTCATCTTTTGCTAAGATTAAGTTTGTGTTTGCCATTTTTGTTGTGATTGATTTCTATAGGGACAGACAAATCTCCCAAATGCAATTTTATAGTTTTTTTCTTCAATCCCTTTAACAGAAAATTAACAGAATAACAGAGTTGGAAGGGACTTTAGAGGTCTTCTAGTCCATCTGTCTGCTCAAGCAGGAGACTCGATACCATTTCAGACGGTTCTCCAATTTCTTCTTAAAACCTTCAGTGTTGGAGCACCCACAACTTCTGGAGGCAAGTCGTTCCACTGATTAATTGTTCTAACTGTCAGGAAATTTCTCCTTAGTTCTAGGCTAGTTCTCTCCTTGATTAGTTTCCATCCATTGCTTCTTGTCCTGCCTTCAGGTGCTTTGGTTAATAGGTTGACCCTGTCTTCTTTTATGCATATAATTATTCATACATGTTTATGCTGGATTCTTTTAATTTGGAGATCTTTATGTTTTCATTTATGTATTTATCAAACTTATATAGTTGTCCATCACACAGAACAAATGACTTGTATGAATGGGACATTTTATTATATACATTTTTGTAAGTATGCCAACACAAGCATTTTCATTTGCTATTCACCAACATATGTCCTTTGGGGTGTTTCTTCCATCTAGTATTCATATTTTGGCACACACAGGTTGGAGAGCTATATTACAACATTTAAAGAAAGATAGCCACAAAAGTACAGATGTTTTTTCAATGTGCGTGTTGTTTCAGGAAATGAGACATAAATTAAGTTCAGATTCAAATGCGAACTGAATGAACTTCTGTCCCCTTCTCATCTTAATTTATGGGTCATAATTAAGTATCACTAGAGGTGCCAATTTGGGCAGAGACAGTAGTTAATAAATGCCAGAAGTAATTGAGTAAAGGGATGAATCCAGCCATAAAAAATGGTACCTGTAATATGCTGCCAGAGGCAACCAATTCATCTTAGCTCATAAAAAGGCCAGCTGCATTTCCACACCATATTGGAACCATTTGCGGCAAAATTAGCCTGTCAGTGGAGCAAATGATTCAGACAGCTTGTGCAAGGGAGAACAAGTGTCTGTAATAAATGGGGAGATTTGTGTGATTCGACTTTTAATATGGCAAATTCTGAGGGGCCTCTTCCTCCTTCTTTCACGGTCACCTGTTATATCATCAGGTAGTTATTCAATCTGAAAAGTGGATTTGGACCTAGTCACTTGCTAAGAGAGATAAAGGCGGGGTGTTAAGAAGCACTTCCTGATTAACCCAAGATTGGCCAATCTGAGGCAGGACTCCAGATAAAAGCTAGAAGGGAACTGGAAGGCAAATCATTGAATTCCCACATCTTGGGGGTAAGAACTGCCTATACTTCCTTGCTATCTCTCTAATTGATTTCAAGGTCTATACAAATGTATGTGTTTTCCAGGAGCATCATGCAGAAGATCCCTGCTGGAGGCAGAGGAAATTGGTTGTCAGGAGATTTCAGCATTGACAGCTGCTAATTCAATCATTTTATTCCAGTAAACGAACAGGGATATTTGCAGCCTTGATTTATGGCACTCAACAGATGTGGGATAGATGTAAATTGCCACCTCTAGCCAAGGAGTTGGACTCTGGAGCATAAGAGTTGAGCAGTCTTCTGGGGTTAATGGCTGCCAATCACTTTGGGGAAGGAACAGGTGACTATTATGCAGCAGAACCTGGATTTTCTGTTCCATCCTAAATTTGGAGGATCTTTGTTTTTGCTAAGCAAGGCTAGGCTAGGTTAGGTTTGGTTAGAGATTTAGATTTTTTTATCCAAAACCCTGGAATGAAATGCAACCATACTTAAGCCTTCTCCATCTACTTGGGAGATTACTCCTCTTCTGTGGAGTTTTTGTCACTTTTGTAGTTCTCGTGTTCCTGTACTGCATCGCAGCCTTAATACTGTACCTCAGTTACATGCACTTGTATTGAGGTGCTGGAAAGGTCCTCGTGATTGTAAGTCAGCATGATCTGGCTTTTAAACTTGCTTTTCTATAATTTGTAGTGTCGGGTGAAGGTATGCATGAGTGCCATTTATCTATAAGGTTAATTCATTGAGCATACAGATTTTTTTATTTATATCCTGTTTCTTTATTTTTATAAGCAATTCAAGCAGTAAACATACATAATACACCTTCCTCTTCCTATTTTCCCCAGAACAACAATCACCCTGTGTGGTGAGTTGGGCTGAGAGAGAAGGACTGACCCTAAGTCACCCAGCCACCTTTCATGCCTAAAGTGGGACTAAAACTCACAGTCTTCTGATTTCTTCACCACTAGAGTCTATTTGTTTGCCACCTCAAAATGGCTAGAACTCTACATTGCTGCTTTGGACAATAATGGGTGAGGGACTCTGAGGATTGCAACATAAAGGACCTGTAGGACCTGCAAGACTTCAACCTTGAACCTCAGGTGGCCCACTTTTTGAAAAGCCATACACAAATCTATGATTCTTTACTTTTCCTGTAAAGTCAAAGTTTCTATGTGTCTGTTTTCTGTGAGATTCATGCTGACCATTATGCTGAATGGTTTGGTAAACCAAGATGGTGGAATGTTAGCCTCTTAAATTTCTGAATATTCTTGTTTTCAACAGATCTTATTCTTGGGAACCATTATTGTAGTTAACAACCATGTTACAGCTTTTCTTCGAGTTACTGGCTGCTGTTTTATACATGGCATCTTCAGGTAAGATCTTGGAAATGTACCTGCTGTTTTTAAAAATACCGTGAACATAGTTGAATAGTTGAGGATGACAGGGGTAGGGTGAATCCAGGGTCAATCTGAGGACAAAGAAACACACACAAATATAAATGTCTTGCATTGCACCATATGCAGGACTAGGCAAGTTGTGATAGCCTCCTGCAAATGCCTTTCTCCCATATTTCATAAATGGAAACATAATAAAAACAAATATAATTGTTGTGGTGACTCCTTTAGGCAGAGAGGTGGGGAGTTGAGTAGCAATTGAGGTCCTTTTAATCATACCTGACATTCCTGCTGGAGGGAAGGCCTCCTTCTGTGCAAAAAGAGATAAGTTGCTTCCAAAACTAAAGAAACAGGAAGCATCCTTCGGAAAACTGGTGTGGGTTAAGTGATCTGGTTCACAAACCTACACTGAGGACTTTTTCAAGGATGAATGGAGACGTCAGACAGCAGTTCCTTTTACTTTGCTGTATTTTGTGTTTCTTCTCTGTTGTCACAACATACACACACACACACACACATCCTTCCTCATTAATGCACTCTTCAAGCCCTGAGTCTGAATTCCCTGCTGATTCCCAGCTGATGAGACTGACTCTCAAAGAGGCTGGAATTTTCTCTTCACCATAGTAAATAACAACTAGATGAGATTTTTATGTAGGAAATGTTTACCCGTACACAGGTGATCCATCACCTGAATGCTGTGTGGAGATTTCTTTATTTATTAGGAAATTTTATATGGCCTCCCAACTTACTCACTGTGACTCTGGGCAGCTTACAGAAATAAAACTCTAATACAAAAGGCAACAACAATCAACAAGGCAACAACAATCAAGCCAACCACTTGGGCTCCATATAGTCCTGAGGTCCTTTGGCCCGTATCTTCAGGGCCTTTTGAAAGAGTGTCAAAGTGGGGACCAATCTTATTTCCGCAGGGATGATGTTCCATAGGGAGGGAACCAGATGGACCTCCTTTGGAGAGGGGACCCGTAATGTATCTTACTCAGATCAAAAGAGAATCTCATCCTTTCCTAGAACCAGAGTCCTTGATTTCTGACTTTACTCATCTTTTAGTTCTTCTGGGATCCTTTCTTCCTTTGTTTGTGGTTTATTCATTTTTATTCTCTCTTTTTTTTCTCAGCCACTGCAGCAGAAGGAGAAAGAGTCCTGGGAGGAAAACCATGTCTGCCCAATTCCCAGCCATGGCAGGCTGCCCTATTCTCAGGATGCAGGCTGATCTGTGGAGGGACGCTCATTCACCCATCCTGGGTGCTCAGTGCGGCCCACTGCAGAAAGTCATCGTAAGTGCAAACAGGGTAAAAGGATGTTGGGTGTGCTGTTCATTTTAACAAGAATATGAAGAGAGCATAAAGGCAAGAAAAGTTAAAGGGATGGAACATGTTTAGCCCTGGGAATAGAAGAGTAAGGACATGCTAGCACTTTTCACATAGCCACAGGGAAGGACGCAAATATTTATTTTGTCTTGTCTAAGAGGGAGGATTTAATAAGCATACATGACAAGGACAGATTATGGGTTAAATTTGTTGAAGAACTCTCTAGTACCAATAAGAGAGTTTCATCAATGAAATTCATTGTATAGGAGGATAGACAGCTCTCTGTCACTAAAGGTCTTCAACTAGAAGCTAGCAACTAGCTATCTGTTGTGGATCTGTTCATGCTGGATTTTATGAAAAGCAAATCTGCCTTCCTCCATTGACTTTGCTTGTGTGAAGCCAGCTGGGAAGATTGCAAATGGTGATCACATGATTCTGGGGCACTGCAACTGTCGTAGGTATATGCCAAGTGCCTAAATTTTGATCATATGACTATGGAGATGCTGCAATGGTCATAAGTGTCAGGACATCATAATCACTTTTTTCCAGTGCTGTCATAACTTTGAACTGCTGCTAAATGAATGATTGTAACTCAAGGACTACCTATATTTTGCATCACATATGCTGTATAACAGAAAGCTGAAAAGAATTTAGCAATGTATTTAGTATTTAGTAATGAAGCATAACTTCTATCTGATTCAACTAATGCACTTGTACAATAAGATACGATATTACCACTCGGTTTTAGTTGTATTACTCAGTGATAAGATCAGCACAATTCCTCCCTCTACTTACAGCTATTTTCCCCTCCCTATCTATAAGAAGTTCAAGGTGATGACAAATGAGCTGCATTAGTTTTGATGCATGAACAAAGTGGTTAGGAGGCCTTTTCCCTTTTCTTTTAATTTTAAAAAGTCCAAAAGTTTTACAACAGCATCAGATTCTCTGCAGGCAAGACCAGTCTTTCCCCAGGAATGACTGAGTGATCTCATATGATACAGTCAGTTTAGGAAGCGCTGGAGATCAACATAGGTGTAGCCTATAAAAGTTGCAATAAGAAGATCAGTCTTGAAATAAAGAAATGAAGTTGGAGGACTTCTCCGAGTTAATTTGAATATTTTTAAAAAAGTAGGCACCATCTATGAGCACTTCAACCTGGGGTGGCAATTTTTTTTAAAGCTAACCTCCTTAAAACACAGAGATCTAGAACAATCAAGGCACGTAGTCTTAGAGGCTGTTGCAATGATGGGAGTTGGTGTTGTTTTCTATTATTTTTTAGAGACAGTTTATCTGAAATTTGTTTAAAAAGCAATGGGATTTTGTTTCACCTATCTTGAGGTATTCAGATTAAAAATACAATAAATGAGAACTTGCCAAGATTTAGAGTCGCCCACTGATTTTGTGGCTCCTTCATTTTCACAACAGTCCAATGTGAACAAATGAAAGCTTCAATTTATTTATTTGTTTTTTTAAGAAATCAGGAAGCAAAATAAATAAACCTTGTCAGAAAAACCTCTGGTTTCTCAGGGTCTACCTGCTGAGATGCCTTTAAAGACACAAGGGCAGATCCATCAAGAGGGGGGGGGGGAATGACAGTTTTGCCACAGGGCAATTTTCGAGCAACAGAAGCTAACCTTGTCTCATTCTTCCAGCATTTTCCCAGTGCGTCTTGGAGAACACCATCTGAGGCGCATAGACTGGTCAGAACAGTTCAAGTTATCGTCAAAAGCCATTGTGCATCCTGAGTACAACCGACAAACCTTGAACAATGATATTATGCTGGTTAAACTGCTGATCCCGGCTACCTTAAATGACAAAGTCAAAGTCCTGAATTTGACTACCAGCTGCCCGGAGCCTGGAACCAAATGCCTCATTTCAGGATGGGGTACAACAAGTAGCCCACAAGGTATATTGACAGATAAACTGAGTTCTCATATCATTCTATATGTTGGTTGGCCTAGTGATAATTTATGGAATAAATCTAAGAAATTAAATCTGTGCAACATGCTGAACCAAAATAGAAATACTGTGGTTTAATGGTGGAGTGTATGAATTCCTGTGTAAGCTTAGGGCTACATTGTGTTTCATAAAGCAAGTTGAATGAAACAGCGGAGGAATATTGTCTGTTCAGGGAGGCAGTCCTAAGTATTATGGGATGCTCAGATGTTTATAAAGGCATTTGAGGCATTTATAATGCTTAAGACACCCATCCTGCTGGGCTTGTAGCATTGAAGGTCACAAAAGAGACAATGATTAGGTGCAATTTTTGCCACTTTGGGATAGTTTAATGGGAGGGTCTAGTTACAAAAAAAATATTTTAAAACTGAACCAGAACCCAATGTCACATTTTTGTCTATTCTTCTTTTAAACCATCAAAATTAATGGCTATCATATGCCAATGAATTCTACAAGTTAAACACCCCCAGCTAAGATGCTTCCCTTTTGTCTGGTCTTAAATCTCTGGTCCATTCCAAAGACAACCTTAGACCTAGTCATAAGAGGAAGGAGAAGAATGCCATTTCGCCAATCTACTTCTCCTTTATTGAATTCCATCTTCCTTTACAGCCAAATATCCAGATGTTCTACACTGTGCCAACATCACCATCTTCAGTCACAATGTTTGCCGATTGATTTATCCCAATTATATCAATGAAAACATGGTCTGTGCTGGCAAGATGGAGGGAGGAACAGATACTTGCCAGGTAAAAGGAGTTGGGGTCTATTTAGGCAGCCACTTTAATGGTATTTTTTCTAATCCATGAGGAGGACACTAAAGTATGCGAGATAATAACTTCAATCTCCATAGCTTGTCTCTACTCTACCTTAATGAAAAGGCCAGCGACTGGTACAGGCCTAACAATTTGCTGCAAGGCAAGTTAAAGTCCAGAGATTGACTAATTTCCCAGGGCAGGACAAAGGCTTCCCCCCTAAAATGAGCTGGCTTTGGAAAGGAGGTGACAGATGATTGGAAAAGCAAGTTTAGCCATCTATCAAAAACCTTACAATAAAATATGTGCCGTAACCATCTTCATGTGACCAGCTTGTCAGGCTTGTTCAGAAACCCATGCCTGACTTCTACATTCTACTGGGTGCTGCAATCCATACAAAGCAGAGGTGCTGCAAGATTCACCACTTTTATCAAGTGATGAAAGTATAATTGCACCTTTGCAATTCATGCCCTGGCTTTGCAGCATCATGATGCATGCACAGAAGAGGAGGAAGAGCTTGCACTATGACAAGTGTTGCTTTCGTAATTTACTCTCCCCACTTTGCTTTCTCAATGGCACTATTGCTGCAGAGTAACCTGCCTATCTACGTAGGCAGGCTACTCTGCAGCAATGTCTACGTAGGATTGACAAGCAAGTTATTGTACCAATATACTCATCTATAGCTTGCTCTTAGGGATGCTTATCCTTTTTCTTCCTTTTGGCAACCCACATGGCAAGGTGGGCAAGTGAAGATGAGACAGCATATCAGTCTTCTTGTTCCCTCATGTTCCTAACAATAAACACCAGGAAATAGATAGCCATAGCTTAAGGAGAGATACCATGGGTCTGTATTGAGGATGGACAGAGGACCAAAGGTGGAAATACATTGGTTAAGTTCTTCGTTCAGCCATGAAGCTTACTGGATATATCTGACTTTCTTTTAGGCTCACACACCTTAAGAATTGCTGTGAAAACATAAAGGAGAAGCAAAGGTCATCCATGCTGCCTTGTGCTCTTGGGGTGGGGAGAAGGAAGGACTCATGCTATATTTTGTTTTGTTTTCTGGACAGGGTGATTCAGGTGGACCCTTGGTCTGCAATGGGAAGCTGCAAGGCATTGTATCCTGGGGCCCTTACATATGTGCCCAGCCAAATAAGCCAGGAGTTTATGTTAATGTCTGCAGATATACTGACTGGATCCAGGAGATTATCCAAAATAACTGAGGAGCACGGGACAATTCTGAACAAACTCCAAAGGGAGAGGAAACTTTGCTTCTCTTTTTGGTCAAATTGGCCTTGTGTTATATTGATGGTGCTTTTGATATGCCTCTGGAGCTATTAAAATGTGATTTAATAAAAGCCATGTTTGTGGCCAAGTTTTCTTGGGTCCAAAACTTTATTTGACTCCTCCACTCCACCCCAGTACCAATACTCTTAGCAACTTGAATCTTCCTTTATATATTTTAAAATATACCCTTTGGTTCATCAAGTCCATTCCCTTTGCAGGAACTCTAATAAAATTATCCTTCTCAAGTAGCCATCCATCCTCTCTTTGAACATACTCAATAAAAGTATCTCTCATCTCTTTGCTTAATTGGCTCCATTATTAAGTGCTTATATCATTAGAAAGGTCTTTTTTTTTAACAAAAACAAAAAACATTCAACTGGAATTTGCCTTCTTGTATTAATGTCCTCATCCTAGGGGGATAGATAACAAGTTGTGACCTTCATCTATGTAATTCTTCAGATATTAGATAGAACAATGTGCTTCTCTATATCTTTCTCTTATCAGGGTTAAATCAAATCAATTTTCTCAGTAAATCCATATAGGACTTAATCTTTAGTCTCCAGATCCATCCTAGCTGGAGTTGTTGTTTTTTTTTTTACTTCTTCCATTTTATATGATTCCTTCTAAAAAGGAGGGATTTGGTAGCACTCTTCAGATTTCTGAAAGGATGCTGCATAAAAGATGTGGATCTATTTTTCATTGTTCTAGAATATAGAACATGAAATAATGGATTTAAGTTATAGAATGACAGATACTGGTGGATATTAGAAGAAATTTCCTAACAGGAAGAGGCATTCTCAATGGAACAGGTGACCAAGAAAAGCGGTAGACTTCCATTCCAATCAGATGGCCATTGATCAAGGATGATTTAATTAAGTTTCCTCCAATGTGCAGCAGGTAGAATTCAATGAACCCTGTGCCCCTTTCCATCTTGATAATTATATGATTCAGTCATGTAAAAAATGAAGCAGACTTCTTTGGTTGCCATGGTGTGCACCTTTCTATAGGTAGTTAGCACACAACTTTCATCATCTTTTGCCATTGTAACCACAATGGTCACATTCATACTATGATTTAAACTAGGGGGATATAACTCACATCAATTGGAAAACAAGAACAGGCTATGCTTTGGATTAGGAGCTAGGAATGCTAAGGGATGAAGAGTTGCTCTCCCAATGACATAAGCTAAACTATTCTATGAGAATCTCAGCCTAAAAGTTCATTGTCCACAGTCCACATTTGATTAGGCAAAGATCCACTTGAAGCAATGTCCCTTTAAAAAGCCAAATGGGAAAAGCTAGTCTTTCAAGCACCTTCTCTAAGGCTTTTAAGGAAATATTTTTTTGCATAAGTCTCTCCTTTGTCATCTCTCAGTTCTTGTGGGAGCAAAAAGTCCTTCTCAGAATACTTTTGACTTAGTCTTGGGGAATCTCATGCAGTTGAGTTCTTTGTCTAGAGTATTAAATCATTAAACATATGCAGTAATAACCTCTTGCCACACTGTTTAGTGTCAACACTCCAAATTATAGCTTCTGTGGACAAGATAATCTAGTGTTGAAGGTGACTAACAACTCCCCACTTTGCTATGAAGGAACAAGGTGTGATTCATGGAGCTTCAACAGGCATGCAGAAACCACATCCAATGTTCTGGCATCAGGGAATGTGAACTTTAGCACCCATGTTGGTTTAACAAGCTTCAGGATAAATCCAGTACAAATAGGTGTTTCCCATGGTTGTCAACATCAGATTAGATCAACCTTCTCCAACTGCTTGCCTTTCAACTGCTGGAATGAAACTCCATCACCTCCAGCCAAAAGTGAGCTGTTGGTTGGGAATAACTGGGAAAGGTCAAAACTTTCTGCTACTTGGCAGAAGGACCATAATATATAGATAAAACATTAAAGTGTAGTGATATCACATTGCCATTATTAAAGCCACAGTTTCCCCAGTTATAGCATACAAAAGTTGGGCCATCAGAAAGACTGAATGAAAAAAATTGAACTTTTGAATTGTGATACTGGAGAAAAGGGTTAAGAATATCTCTGATTTAAAAAAAAATCCAATCATTCTATACTGGATGAAGACCAGATTTACTACTACTACTTACTATCATGGTAGCACCATAATGAAGTTAATGTTTAAATATTTTTGAGACATCATGCAAAGGCACAAGTCATTGGAGAAAACCGCAGAGACCTTCTCCGTGGACAATGGCTGATCACTGCTGTCCAATGTTACACAAGTTAGTAAGTTCATCTGTAGACTGCAGGAATAGTATCTACTTAGGGTAAATGTGAGGACTCTTCCAAGGGGATTATCACAACAATTCAAGAGAATTAAGCCAAATAAGAGAAATTCAACCAAGGTATCTGTCTGAAATTAACATTCACTACTGAATGCAGAGAGGAAAGCTATGTATGAAGTGTTGTATTCCATGAGCACATTTAAGGATAGAATAGTCTGTCCCCAACTGAAACTCTGAGGATATCTTTCTTGACCTACTATTGACCCTCGAATGAGATAAGAACAAGGCTTTCAAGTTTTACTATTCTTTACAACAGATCAGATTACAGAAAATTAGAACATGTGAGAAATAAGTAAGAAGAACTTTGAATATGTCTCTACTTTTTTTTAACTGGGATTTAGTCTAATGTTTACATATAATATTTCCTGGTGAGATAAATGGCATTTTATCAGGGGCAAAGAATCAGGACCCTTCACATAGATTGTAGCATAAATGATTTATTGAAGTCTATACACAAGAACCTGGTCAACTAACAGCACTAAATAGGCATTAAATAAGAGTCTGCTGAATTGGGGGGGGGGGGCTGGCCTGAGTCTCTTGTGGAAACAAAAGGAATGTAAATTGATGACTTGTTTTACTCTGCTTTCCAAGTCTGCCTGCTCTTCTCCTACACATTTCTAATTAAAAACAACCAGTTACATCACTTACAATCTTTTGTTTAACCTCCATGCATTTTTTGAAGCTGAACCTCTGCCATCAAAAGGAAGTATTTGAATTAATTATGGGATGGCAATCATGCCCCATAAACTTAATGAGAAGTTTTTATGAGTACTTTGTGTAGAGGAGGTGGCATATGTATTTCTGTTTCTTAATTAAGCCCTAAACCAAAAAGTAAACAATGCTGTAAACAACAATGGAAGACTAAGTCATAGTATATTCAGAGCCTGAGAGAGATTCAGAAGCTGACTGGGAAAACATTGGCTAGTAGTAATAACTTGGTTATCTGGAAAACTAATAGGTAATTGGTTGGTTCACAGAGAGGCAGTTAATAAACAACTGGGGGAAAAAAATCTGCCTCGATAAGCAAAGAAATTGAGTTCCAAAATGAAATGAAAATTTGACTGCTGAGATTTTTATAACTTATTCCATTCTCTTTAATAAATCTTGTTAAAGAAAAATTTGGGAGAATGTTGCTATCAGCTGAAGTTAACAAAACTTGAGAGATGCAATATAAAAATATGTTGGGCAGATTATGCTTTTATTTTAAGGTATATGTCTAAGAATTGTTTTTGAGGATGTCTAGCAATGGAAATTCATGGTTGGGGGATGAAATTTAGCTTTAGATTTGTCTCGGCATATCTGTAAATTTTGCTTGGGTGTCATGGCTATGATACTTGGAGAAGATTGTGAAGCTATGGGTAGCCCAAGATTTATGACTACTGTACATCACTGCCAACCATACCTGGATGACTAAGAATCTCCATAGACATTTAGCTATGCACTTTGGGATGAACACCCTTCGAAAGGTGAGAGAATATGAATGGATTTCCAGAAAATATTGCAAACTACAGGAACCATTTGTGCTTCAGTTTGAGATTCAGACAGCACAGACCCGTCCCCAATAGCCTGTGCCTGTCTTTAACAGTGAAGGGACACAGAGCAAAAAACATCCTGCAGCCAAGAAGGCTCCACACACATTTGCAGTTCTCAGGTTACCCTGAGGACCCAGGTGTAGAAGGAGAAGTCTTCATCAGGGTCCAGTCCAAGCCAAGAATAAATAACATGGTGACTGCTTTAGAAGAGGAGAGCCAGACAGAAAGATGGCTCTGGAAGAAAAGAGAGAGAGCACATGTAGGGAGTGGGTTTCTGCAGATTTGGTTTCTGTTTGGGACAGAGAGACTTGTGGGGGGGGGTTGGTTTCTGCCTTTAAAATCCTTTGGGGAAATATATTCTGCGTTTTGGCAATAGAAGAAGGGGACGACAGAGAATGAGATGGCTGGATGGAGTCACTGAAGCAGTAGGTGTGAACTTAAATGGACTCCAGAAGACGGTAGAGGACAGGAAGACCTGGAGGAACATTGTCCATGGGGTCACAATGGGTCGGACACGACTTCGCAATTAACAACAACAACAACATTCTGCCTTTTTAATATTTACCAAAATATTTCTTTCTCTGGATTCTTCCCACACCAGAGTAGACTTATTATAGCCTTGTGCCAATGACAAACTCCTCAAAGTGCTTGTTTTAAATTTCCCTTAATCTCCTTTATAAGTAGTAAAGAGCACTGTGGGAAATTTAAAATGGCAGCTTACCACTCTTAGCAGGTAATTTTGCAACTGGGAGCCATTAATATGGAGAATGATCTATCAAGAAGTGTGTTTTTTTGTTTGTGTATTAGATTTGTTTGCCACCCAGCTTGCTTAAAAGCAACTCTGGGCAACTTACAACGTTAAAATAATAAAATTGAAGTGTTTGGTGAAGAATCTTCACATTTGCTGTGTGTGTGTGTGTGTTCACGATACACAAGCCTATTATAAAAAGATACTGATATCAATTGACATAAATAGCATCACCATGAGAAGCTCAGCCTGAAATTTCTATCTTACATATATGTGTGTGTGTGTGTTTTCTGGAACACCCAATTAAATAGTTTCATTTATCTCTTCCCGTATTCACACACCCCAAGATAACATTATCAGCTTCTGTATCTGCAGATGTTTCCATTGTTTAAGGATCAAAGAAATCTATTTTAGCATTTAAATGATTGTATCAGCGAATTGTGCACAGACAGAAATCTTTTGTATCAGTCTCAGAGGACACCTTATAATTCAATACTTCAAAA